TCTTTCAATATCATTCAACAAGATCTCCATGCCTTAGTTTCTCAATTCAATTTCTTAATTCTCCCAAGTAATTTAAGGCAATTGGCTTTGTTAGAAAATGTGTTTCAAAATGCTGAACATTTGGGGTCCGGGGGTTTGGGGGTTGGGGTGAAGGAGTGCTCTTTAATCACTCAACTTCTCTTGAACACAATTAGAGGAGGTGATTCTTCTTTATTTCACTCAACTTGCTTAACAGCCAAAGTGCCCAGGTATTTATTGGACTTCTTTTAGCATGTGTATATCTACTACATGTACCTTCAATTCTCAATTTTTTTCTCTTTCCTAGTTCATGAACAAAGATAGTTATTGTTAAATTAATTTTCCTTATACACAAATTAATATAATTCATGTATCACAAAAAATCTAAGAAAGCAAAAGTTTATTCACCAACAAAATGATGTAAGGTGTTCCTGCTATTAAATACCCATGTAAATTGTCTTTGTTACTTTACCTCACACATGTGCATTCTTATTGAAAGACAGATCTCTTCTGCTCAAAGTAATGATGCTATGGGTTATCACTTTAAGGTGAAGCCATACGTTTTAGTTAATGTGCCATTCAACTAATGACTTGCAAACTAAAAAAGATGAAAAACATTATTCTTTGAATCTCAAATTTGAAAATCTGGAGTGATATCAATATTATCGAATAATGGGTGTTGAAATCAGTTGTTTAATTGGAATTTAATTATTATAATACTAAATTCATATACATTGATACTCCATATCTGAAAAAAGTGCACACTTTAAGCTCTTAGGAGCTTGTCGCTTTAATTCCTTTTCACATTTAAAAATATTTTTTGACTTTAGATTCATACAACTATAACATATTTTCCCCATTTTTATTTCTCTGCTTTTATTTATGCTGGTGGTTCAATTCATAACATTCCCTTCTTGTTCGAGATTGATTGTCTGTAAGATCTTTGTTAGAAACTCGAGGAACTACAATTTGATGTTAGCTCCATTATTCATAAATATTCTTATTTTGGGAACTGATAAATATTCTTATTTTTGGAACTGAATTTGTCCAACAATCAGCACCTTATAATAACTACATCATTATTTCCTTTCTCATGACTAGCTAAGTTACAACTTTATTGTGTTCCTCTGAGATTGTTATGTTGATGTTTCTGGTACTTTTTCTCTTGTTCAGAAAACCAGTGTTGTTATACATATGGATTAATAACGTATATTGGAATACTGCTTGTGAATAGGTCCTCCAACGCAGACAGGAAACGGCTTCTGCTGGGCTAACAATTAAAGAACTAAATGACTTTCTTGATCACTTGGCTCATTTTTTTGGATGAGTGTGTTTGGTATGGAATAATATGTTTCTAGTTTTTTCAAGTTTGATTAGTCAAATGTTTTTGGAAAACATTTATCTTAAAAATAAAGAAAAATATTTTTCTAGAAGTAGGAAAAATAAATTGAATACTGACAACACACGCTAAGTAGAGATAGGAGGTAGGAGTAGGAGTAAGTAGTAATTAGGACTAGGATTAGGATGTGTAGGATTATGAGGTAGGATTAGGGTTAGGATTAGAATTAGGATACGGAGGTAGAATCAGGATTAGGATTATTAGGATTAGGATTAGGAGGTAGGATCGGGATTGGGAGGTAGGATTAGGTGGTAGGATTAGGATTAGGATTAGGATAAAGATTAGAGTTAGGATTTAGGATTATGATGTAGGATTTAGGATTGGGTGGTAGGATTAGGATAAGGACTAGGCTTTAGGATTAGGATAAGGACTAGGCTTTAGGATTAGGATAAGGACAAGGACTAGGCTTTAGGATTAGGATTAGGATTAGTATTAGGATGTAGGAATAGGAGGTTCAATTAGGATTAGGATTAGGAGGTAGGATTAGGATTAGGATTAGGGTTAGGAGGAAGGATTAAGATTAGAGTAGGAGACAAGATTAGGAGATAGGATAAAGTGGTAGGAATAGGATTAGGATTAGGAAGTAGGAATAGGAGGTAGTATTAGGAGTACAGTAGGAGGTAGTATTAGGATTAGGATTAGGAGTAGAGTAAGAGATAGGATTAGGATTATGATTAGGAGTAGGATTAGGAGTAGGATTAGGAAGTAGGAATAAGAGGTATGATTAGGAGTAGGAGTAGGATTAGGATTAGGATTAGGAAGTAGGATTAGGATTAGGAGTAGAGTAGGAGGTAGGAGTTGGATTAGGATTAGGAGTAGGATTAGGAGTAGAGTAGGAGATAGGATTTGGAGGTAGGATTAGGATTAGGAGTAGGATTAGGATTAGGATTAGGATTAGGAAGTAGGAATAGGAGATAGGATTAGGATTAGGATTAGGTGTAGGGTTAGGATTAGTATTAGGATGTAGGAATAGGAGGTATGATTAGGATTAGGATTAGGAGGTAGGATTATGATTAGGGTTAGGAGGTATGATTAGGAGGTAGGATCAGGATTAGAATTATGACTAGGAATAAGATTAGGATTAAGATGTAAGATTAGTATTAGGATTAGGATTAGGCAGTAACAGGGGACAGTAGAAGTAGCAGGAGCTGTAGGAGGTAGTAGTAGTAGCAGAGGACGGTAGCAGGTAGCAGTAGCATGGACAATAGCAATAACGTGGTAGTATTAGCAGGAACTGTTAGCAGAAGTTGTAGGAGGTAGCAGATAGTAGTAGCAGGGGGCGGTAGTAGCAGGAGCTTTAGGTGGTAGTAGGGGACAATAGCAGTAGTAGTAGTAGGAGCTTTTGGAGGTAGCAAGGGATAGTAGCGGTACAAGTATTAGCAGCAGTAGCTGGAGCTGGAGCTGTAGGAGGTTGCAGTAGCAGGCTTATGAGTAGGAGTAGGAGTAAGACTATGAGCGGGAGCGGGAGGTAGGAGTAGTAGGAATAGGATTAGAATTAGGATTAGGATTAGGATTAGGCAAACAGTAGTAGTAGCAGTAGCGGGAGTTGTAGGAGGTAGCAGTTGTAGGGGACAGTAGCATTAGCAGGAGCTATACGAGTTAAGCAGGGGACAATAGCAGTAGTAGGAGCTGTAGGAGGAAGCAGTAGCAGTAGCAGGGACAATAATAGTAGGTGGTAGAAGTAGCATTAGCAGGCTTATGAGTAGGAGTAGGAGTAAGACTACGAGTGGGAGCGGGAGGTAGTAGTAGGAATAGGATTAGAATTAGGATTAGGATTAGGCAAACAGTAGGTATCAGTAGTAGGGGACAATAGCATTAGCAGGAGCTATACGAGGTAAGCAGGGGACAATAGCAGTAGCATTAGCTGGAGCTTTAGGAGGAAGTAGTAGTAGGGACAATAATAGTAGGTGGTAGAAGTAGCAGGAGCTGTTAGCAGAAGTTGTAGGAGGTACCAAGTGACAATAGTAGTAGCAGGAATAGCAATAGTAGTAGCACTAGTAGGAGCTTTAGCTCGTAGTAGGGGACAATAGCAGTAGCAGGAGCTGTAGGAGGTAGCAAGCGATACTAACCGTAGTAGGAGTTGTAGGTGGTAGGAGGTAGTAGTAGCAGAGGACACTAGCAATAGCAGGAATTGTAGGTGGTAGCAGGGACAGTAGCAATAGCAGTGGCAGGAGCTGTAGTTGGTAGCAAGGAAAGTAGTAGTAGCAGGAGCTGTAAGAGGTAGCAGGTAGCAGTAGTAATGGACAGTAGCAGTAGAAAGGGACAGTAACAGGAGCTGTAGGTGGTAGCAAGGTACAGTAGCAATTGTTGTAGGAGGTAGCAAGTAGCAATAGCTGGAGCTGTAGGATATAGGAGGTAGCAGGAGCAGGGCAGGCTTATGAGGAGTAGGAGCGGGAGGTAGGAGTAAGAGTAGTAGTAGGAGTATTAGGATTCGGATTAGGCAAACAGTAGTAGTAGCAGTAGTAGAAGTTGTAGGAGGCAACAGTAGTAGGGGGCAGTAGCTTTAGCATGAGCTGTAGGAGGTAGTAGGGGACAGTAGCAATAAGAATAGCAGGAGCTTTAGGAGGTAGCACGACATAGTAGCAGTATTAGTAGTAGTAGCAGTAGTAGGAGCTGTAGGAGGTAGCAGTAGAAAGCTTATGAGTAGAAGTAGGAGTAAGAGTAAGAGTTGGAATGGGAGGTAGTAGTAGGAGTAGTAGTAGAAGTAGGATTAGAATTAGGATTAATATTAGGCAACCAATAGAAGTAGCAGTAGCAGGAGTTTTAGGAGGTAGTAGTAGTAGGGGACACTAGCAGTAACATTAGCTGGAGCTGTAGGAGGTAAGCAGGGGACAGTAGCAGTAGTAGTAGCAGGAGTTGTAGGAGGTAGCAGTACCAAGGGACAATATGAGTAGCAAGAGTTGTAGGAGGTAGTAGATAGTAGTGCGGGGGGCAATAATAGTAGTAGTAGCAAGAGCTTTAGGTGGTAGTAGGGGATACTAACAGTAGCAAGAGCTGTAGGAGGTAGCAGGTAGCAGTAGCAGGATTTGTAGTTGGTAGTAGGGGACAGTAGCAATAAAACTAGCAGGAGATGTAGTTGGTAGTAGGGGACAGCAGCAGTAGCAGGAGCGGTAGGAGGTAGCAGGTAGTAGTAGCAGGGGACAGTAGCAGTAACAGGAGCTGTAGGTGGTGGCAGGGTACAATAGTAGTTGCTGCTCTAGGAGGTAGCAAGTAGCAAAAGCTGGAGCTGTAGGAGATAGGAGGTAGCAGGAGCAGGGGCAGACTTATGAGTAGGAGTAGTAGGTAGTAGTAGTAGGAGTATTAGGATTCGGATTGGGGAAACAGTAGTAGTAGCAGTAGGAGTTGTAGGAGGCAGTAGTAGTAGGGGGAAGTAGCCGTAGCATTAGCAGGAGTTGTAGGAGGTAGTAAGGGGTAGTAGCAGTAGCAGGAGCTTTAGGAGGTAGCAAGGGACAATAGCAGTAGTAGTAGTAGCAGTAGCAAGAGCTGTAGGAGCTAACAGTAGTAGGCTATGAGTAGGAGTAGGAGTAAGAGTAGGAGCGGGAAGTAGGAGTAGGATTAGGATTAGGCAAACAGTAGTAGTAGTAGCAGTAGTAGCAGGAGCTGTAGGAGGTAGCAGTAGCAGGACCTGTAGGATGTAGCAAGGGACAGTAGCAGTAGCAGGAGTTGTAGGAGGTAGAAGGGGACAGTAGCTATAGTAGTAGTAGTAGTAGCAAGATTTGTAGGAGGTAGCAGGTAGCAGTAGCAGGGACAGATCAGTAGCAGGAGCAAGGTTCAGGGGCATGCTTATGAGTGATGTAGGTGCAGGGGCAGACTTATGAGTAGGAGTGGGAGTAGGAGTAGGAGGAGAAGGGGTAGAATGTACGAGTTAGGGGTAGGAATAACTGTAGGAGTAGGAGTAGGAGTAGGAGTAGGAGGAGGTAGCAAGTACCCGGTAGACTAGTCAATGTGCATGCACGTTGACCTTCTCAACTACTATTATTTAAAGAAAAACTATACCCTAGTGAAGGGATTATTGGATATTCATCCCTTTTTGTGATAACACTGTTGGATATCCTATCTTAGATTTGACTCATTGGATCTGGTTGTGGGTTTGTTTTTCATTAAAAGATAACTCAATATTAAACAGTGTAAAATGGAGTAACAAAAAAAGAATGATTAGAGCGATCTATGTCCCAAAGTATCGGAGCAATCTATGTCCCAAAAGTCAAGGACCTTAAAAAACCAATGAGTTGGCTTTGATGGGATTTTGCGTTCCCACTTCCCATCTGATAGTACTAAGTTGATCTACGTGAAACAAGTGTTGACATGGTTCTGGGTGATTTCAAGCGTAAAGATCAACCTTTATAAATATGAGATCTTTCTCATTGGCAAGGTAGAGAATATTGAGGCCCTAACTAATGTGTTAAATTGTGAGGTTGGGGCTCTTTCCATGACTTATCTTGGCTTACCCTTAGGAGCATCTACAAAGGACCAAGCAACTTGAAACTCGGTTATAGAGAGGGTAGAGAAGTGGCTTGCTAGTTGGCAAATAGGTACTTATCAAAAGGGGGAAATGAAGTGTTAATCAAGAGCACGTTAGTATACATATTTTATGTTATTGCTTCATGCTCTGCTCAGTGTTACGGGAAAGTTGCATAAACTTCAAAGGTTACTCATGGCATGGTTTAAGCGGGGAGGGAAAGTTTCCGCCTAGTAAATTAGGAGTTTGCACCACTCCATAGTGTTGGGACTTGGGGTGGACTTGGGATTATTGATCTAAGGGGTCGTTTGGTTCGCTGTCTAAGTTATCCTAGAATTATAGTCTTGGGATTATAATCATTGGACTAATTTAACTCACCTGGGAGATGGGATAAAATAATACCAAGTTGGAAACAATGAAGAAACTCATAAATTTAATTTTTATCATAGTAGTGGAAACAATGAAGGAACTCATAAATTTAATTTTGATCATAGTAGTGGAAAAAATGTAACTCATGGAAATGAAGTAATGAGGTTTCAAGAATAATTGAGGGATATCATGATACTCGTAACGTAATACATGAACACTTCACCACTTTCATGTGTAATTGAAGGCATAATTCACTTATTGAAAAGATTAGTCGGGTTTGAAAAACCTTGCCTGGGGAGAACAAATAGAAATTCCCACATGGAAATAGTTAGTTTTACGTACCTTAATCGCTCTAATAGATCCAAAGGAAAAACCCAAATTTTAAAAATCCCCCAAATCCTCATTTGAACCCTTGAGAAGGGTTTTCTTGAAAACCCTATGTTGTAGAGTAGAATCTCGTTAAGAACCCATATACGAGTGTAAGAATAGCTTAGAAGTATATGAAGGACCTTACCTTGGTGTGGGAGGATGAGGAGAGGAGAGGAGAGCAGTGGAGAGAATAGTCGTGCTAGGGCTTGGAGAAGTGAACATTGGGATAAAAATGTGAACTAGTGCTGCTCTTTGCATCACAACTTCTCTGATAGAGGTGAAACTTTCCATCACCTACTGTGCAAAGATGGAAAGAAATGCCATGACCATCTTGCTGCTCTTTGGTTACCCTGCTGGTTTGTTATATTATATTCTATCCTAAACTTCTTTGTTTTAATGAAATTTTTCTGATACCTAAGAGCTCAGCAGTTCAGTTACCGTAGTTTCAGACATCGTGCTACATATCCATACCTAGACTTGTTGTATTGTTAAACCTTAGATCTGTCATTTGTTGCATTGTTTACTTAAAGCCTAGACCTGTTGCAGGATGCTTGTGGAATGCATACTTCAGTTGTAGATTATGCATACAAGCAGTTGTAGAAAATAAAGCCAAGCAGTTGTAGATTATGCATACTTCAGTTGTAGATTAGTGACCATTATTTTAGAAAGAACTTGATCAGATACTTTGTTGCTCCACTATTTACAATTCACCTAGCTTGTTATCCTTACGCTTCACGAAGATATATTTTATTGTTTTATCAGAGCAGAGAAGACTTCGATTCTGTCTGATCTAATCAGGAAAACAAATGCTCAAGAAATGAAATGGATTATAATGATAATTCTCAAAGGTTTGATATTTTTTTTGCCAATGCTTAAACTCTAGGATCTCCTTCCATGGCCAATGATGTCAATTTGCCACTGATTTTATATCATTTAGATCTGAAATTGGGAATTAGTGAAAAGAGCATCTTTCACGAATTCCATCCAGATGCAGAGGACTTGTTCAATGTCACATGCGATTTGAAACTAGTTTGTGAAAAGTTGAGGGACAGAAGTCAATGGCATAAACTCCAGGTTTGCTTTCAGTTCTCATATTGAACCTTATGACATACGTCTTATCGTGACTTGGTACTTTTGGTAGAGATATTGGATCTTCCACCAGTTGATTTTAAAGTAAAATTTTAAAATCTCATCCTTTTTACCTTGGTAACTAAGGTACATCTTTGCCTACAATTTGGTAGATATTTGCTCATTGCTTGCATTTGGCGACAATCCTATTGTAACTTCTTGTCCAAGAGATGAGCAAATGCTTTATTTCCTTAATGAGAGTGCTTATGTTGATGGTCTGCTATTCTAAGTTTTTCTCTCATTTCCTTCACTGGTCGATCAGCCCACTCTTTTTTCAAATCTTGATTTAGAAAGTCACAGATAAGTGATTGGGCATTTTGGGAAGAAAGGATAAGATGACAGGTTTGTGAAGTGTTGAAAGCTATGTCTCAAGCAATGATTAATTGATTTTCCACATTGGTGGAGTTAAACGTGTGTCTTCTTATATGGTCTCGGGCAATCCTCAACTAGCTTTTGAGGTTGAGTTACAGGTAAGATTTATTTTCTTAATATCCCTATTATTGGTTTACCTAATGTCGAGTCCTCATTTTCAACACACTTAGATGTTTAGTGATTGGAGTACTTTAAGTGTTCCACATTGGTTGAGGGAATGACTTGTTCTCCCATTACATAGTCCGATAGTCGTGGACAATTCTCACCTTATGAGCTAGGCCAAATCCGAAGTTCAAATTACAAGTTCACCTAATTCTATGACAAGCCACAAATGGCTAGAAACTTAGAAACTGTCCAACTGCCGAAGCATGTGCGCGGCACACGTAGGCAACCTTCAAATCTGGCGCGAAATGCCCACTCTGGCACCCAGCTTCGTGCCTTGCCCACATGCCTACCTTGTGGGAAGGTTTTGCCCCACACAACTTGCCATTGGTGCCCAATCTCCTTAGCTGTATGCCTTGCCCAGCTCATAGCCCACAAACTTGTCTTAGCCACAATCATGCAACAATCATAGCCTTGTCTTGCCTTAGCCTGTCCTGCCCATGTCATGATTAAGCCATTCCACAGCCAAGGTCTTGCCTCAAGTAAACTTGATCTTAATTAACATCATTGAGTCATGGCTAGGTTTATTATGTTAATCCCTAGTACAGCCAGAGCCACCCGAGCCATCAAGCTAAGAGTCTAGCTGGTCCTTATGGATACCTATGACTTCTGACATCCGATAGACCTAAATCATATGGGCCCTCATGGGTGCTGGGGATTAAGTTTCAATCTGTGTGCTTCATTAGGTCAAATTCCTAGTTTACTATATTGGGAACTTGGTAAAAAATCTCCAATTTAGACACTTGATTCTCATGATTCTATGGTTAAAATCCAACCAAAATTGAATATGATCATCCACTTATGTCAATGGTATGGGTTGATATCTATCAGAGTGGGTAAAAGTCCCACATTGGTTGGGGAATGGACGGGTGGTCTCCTTATATGGACTTGGACAATCTTTCCCCCATCGCATTTGCGAGCCATAATTCACATTTGCAGTCGACTCTCTGCATTTGGGGAGAGTCTTCTACTTTTGTGGTTGCACCAGTACTAGACTTTTCAGTAATACTCAATTGAATTAGTGTGAAAACATCCCTGAGCTCTCGGGTTTTCAACCCGACCATCCCAACAAGTCCCAAATGGTTATACAAACTTATTCAAAGCTTCAAAACGCAATTTCAACCATAAAATGCTCAAGATCAGGGGTCAGGTTGTTACAATTCTTTAGTTTGATGCATATCTTCTTTGACGAGGTCTGGGAGCATGTTCACTGGTTTTTATTTCATTTTCTTTGTCTAATGTCACTTTCCAGTTCAGATATTGTAAATTTCACTCTTATTTGGTTGTTTGATAAAGTTTTACACGTTTTCCATGACAACCTTGAATCAGTGATCATGTCCATATGAATATAAATTGTGGAATCTTTGTGTTCTGCAGTGATCTTGACTTCACCACTTATGTAGTCAGTCTGTCTTGAGTAACAAGTGTTGTGCTCTTCCTGCTAAGTGTTGTGTCTTCCTGCTGCAATTATTCTTTCATTTATGAGATATCTATATCTGAATTCATTCTCTGAAGTAATTCAATATGGTTATGAGTCTTTTCAGTTTTCTGTAAAGTTTTCAATGCCTTTTAACACATAGTAAAAAGAATGTAAATTATATGGATTTAGGATGACTGATGTATAATTCCAATATACTTCAGACTCGAATTCTGATTTTAGTGTATATTTTTGCAGGTTCATTTCTTTTTGCAGAGTGCGCACTGGAGTTGGGACACTGTTTTCTGTTGTACCTTTTGTTTTATTACACTGAGCCCTATTTGCTACATATAATCCTTTTCCATGTAGGACTGTTAAGAATGGTTTTCTTGCGTGTTGCACCTTATCTTGTGAAAAATGTACAGTATTTTACTTTTGGCGTCTGTCTGAGTTGCAACAGATATATATTTAGGCATCGGTCTGTTTCTAGTCAGTATTTCTAGTCATTAATCTTTGTGAGAAATAAAGGAGAGAAGTATTATTGCATCGTGTTGACTATATTATTAGAGTGAGCCTTATTTATAGACGCTAAATATAATCCTTTTCCATGTAGGACTATTCTAACACTCTCCCTCAAGGTGGCGCATACAAGTCATATGTATTGGGCTTGTTATTGATGTAACTAATATAAGGACCGAGCAGTTGTTTGATCCAAACTAGCTTGCAAGTTGCTATGACCATTGCTCGATATTCTGCTTCTGCACTAGATCGAGCAACTATGTTTTGTTTCTTTCTCTTCCTGGACACCAAAGTACTGCCTAGTAAAAACACAATATTCAGATGAGTAATGTCTATCAAAAGGATCACCTTTCCAATCGACATATGTATATCCAATGATCTGCTCATGACCTCGATCCTATAAGAGTAGTTCTTTGTATGGAATTGACTTTATATATCGTAGAATGCAAGCAATTGCATCCCAATGAATACCACCTGGAGAATCCATAAACTAACTTACAACACTTGCAAGAAAAGAAATGTCAAGCCTAGTCACTGTGAGATAATACAACTTACCAATAAATCAATTATGACAATTTATTTAAATCTATGTACCAAATCAAACCAATGTAAAGTCATTTTTTCGGTTTCCTTACGATTACATAATGATTGAGAAAGAGATCAAATATATTTTCACTTATTATGTGATATGGTAGAACTTAAAAACGTAAACTAAAAAGAAATTTACAAAATGTTTGTAAAATTCACTTGAGTACAAAATACTTTCATTGAAATATCAACATCCAATATGCTAAATTTATAAGATTAAGGTTACAATCAAATAAAATACAAAACAAAATATTTACAAAGTAATCGTTAACTTTCGCTATCTAAACATTGAATACGATAAATATTTACAAAACTAATTTTAAAATAATATATCTAAACATTGAATACGATAAACTAATTTAAAATATATTAACAAAGTAGATTGTAATTAATATTTTTTAATGTATAAAAAACTAAAATTATGTTTATATTATGTCGGTTAGATGGACTCCATCTGAGTTTTTTTATGTTAACACCAAACCAAACTATGAGTCATTGGGTTTATTTTTTCAGCATACCAATCAAATCAAATAACAAGTTAATTTTTTTCGATAATTATACTTGTTTCATCAGTTCGATTTGACTTGTACACCCACAAAATCAAAAAACACAATGATCATTCACAAGAGAAAAAGCTGAGAGCAACTCTAATTCTCTTAACATTGAAAGGCTATCCATTCACAACCTAAGCTTCCCCTTAAGTATAGAATCAAAAAGAAAAAATGTCATGCTACATTATTCTATCACAAATTCACCGTGATTGAAGATATAAATGAGAACCAGGAGGATGTTATCTCATGTTTAGCAAAACTTATGAGGCTGAGAGTTAAGAATTTCGACTTCAATAGATCCTTACCAAAGAGAAATTGAACTTAGTGATACAAAAAAATAAATGAAAGTGCTAAATCATTTTTGAGAGAGTAGTTTAAATGGGAGGAGGCGACATCATGAACGGTCTGATTGCTTAGTTGCATGGTAACAAGCATATGATCACTTGGACAAATCCTTGCGAGGTAGACATGAGAGATGACAGAGCATCTTCAATGAAACCACCAATTGCGGGAAGTAAAAAATAGACAAGAGAATGGAAATGCAGAGAAAAGCCAAAACATTAGCTAATTGTTTACAACTTTGAAGGACAATTTGTTCAAATAATTTTTATGAAATTAATAAATGTAATTTTTGATAGATTATTTTTATAGGAATAAAATATCAAGACTAACTAATGTAAAAATTATTTATGAACTTTTTTTCCTCCATAAATTGGACAAAAAGAGTAACATATATTGGGCCTGACACGGGCTCTTATATCAAGTAGATAGACAAATAGGGATTAATAAATGAAAAAATAGACAAAATGTCCAATAGGTTAATTTTTTTGCAAAACTAACCCACTTGAAAAAATAAGCCACTTATTACAATAAGTGATCATTTGACACTTCTGTCTTCTTCTTCTCCTTCTCCTCCTTTTTTGTCATTCTTCATTTGCATCTTCTTCTTCGTATCCCTCTTCTTTTGTAAAAATAAAAAATAAAATTACGTACTATAAACATGAATCGCTTCGAGAGAATTATATATTAAAAGACTCGAAACATCAAAATGATTTAATATCTAAAATGTGGGACTTTTATAGGTGATTTTGAGTTGATCGAGATTGAATAGTGTAACATCCCGCAACTTCTAAGCAAAAATCCAAACTATTCCATATGCATATAGGCTCGAATTTGATGATTTCTAATTGTATATATATTTGCTTAGATTAGTTCTTAAGTGTGAGAAGTGTATTTAATGTGGATTAAGGTCATAAGAGACTTCTACAATATGAAAAATTTTATGGCCTAAAACCAACCAAATGAAATATCTTGAAGTCTTCTTTCCAACTCCTTTTACAGTTTGTCGATTCAAATTCTGTGCTAAAAATTATTCACATTTGACTAGATACTATACAATCTGCATGACCCCTTGCGCGGAAGGACGCCAACGACGTGACTGTGCGGTAGGACTAGTGCTTATTGCCAAGGTTGAGGGAACAACCACGAGTCCTAGTCTCCAGGTGCGCGATCGCGTATGTTCTATGAAATTCTTTTAGTTTTCTATTCTTTCCACATTTTAGAATGAGTGTTTTCATCCTTTCCTCATCTCATAATCTCAACCCACATCTATTAACATCTCCCAAAAGTAATAATTAATTAGATTTTATAGGTTACAATAAATTTTTCTCTTTTTTTCCCCAACACTTCAAAGAACAAGATCTACAAGGATTCTAGAGATTTAAATTACGATTATTTTTCTTAAACTTCAAATTTAAGGTATGTAGGACTTTAATGAATATTTCCTTTCATTCTCATGTCTAAAACTTCTAAATTTTCATGAAGTTATTTCCATAGTTAGGGTTATCAAATCCACATTTGAATTTACCATTTTTATGATTCGAATTATATGATTTCTTGAACAATTTATTGTATATAATTGAAACTAATTACTTTATGGTATATATATATATTTAAAACTAGCTTATTAAAAAAGATATTTCCAAAATTTGGAGGGCTGTTGACTTAGTCAAAAACCCAATAAATTAGTCAGGATTTTGAATTAAGGGTGACATTAAGGTGTCAAAATTAAATGACGGTGACATAAGTTATAATAATTGAGTGTAGGTGACAATTATGTAATTAAGGATTAAGGATTTGTGAGGCATTTGTGGGAGTTGCCCTCAAGTTTTTAAGTTGACATTTTGGTCCATTGTATTAAATGAGGGGTAAAAAGGTAAAAGACTAAAACCTAATTTAACCAAATATGGTGGAAATAAAAAATGGAGGGAAGTCAGCACACCAAAAAGGGAAATAAAAGATGCAAATCTCCCCGCCTCCCAGCCGGATTCCTCTCTTTTTCTTTTTCTTCTTGTTCGTTCTTGCTTGCTTTCTTCCTGTTCTCGTCATCTTTTTCTTTTTCTTCTTGTTCGTACATTGTTTCTCTTAACTGCTATTCCTTGTGCTTCTTCTTCTTATCTTCTTTTTGAATCAGATTTAACTAATCAGTTGACCAAATCTCGTTCTATATCAATTGACATTACTTCATAAGTGATTGTGTTCACACACCATTGTTTGGTAAGTAAAATTAATAGTTCTTTGAATCATTCATTATCATCTGAGCATAACTGTAATTTTTTCAATAATTTGCATTCGCGTTTCCAAAAGATGGTTATATCTGTTGACTCGTGTTGAATAAGTCAGATATTGGAACAGATTATGTTGCAACAAAAAGGTTATATGTTGCAACATATGACTATTTTGTTGCGATTGATAAATCATATGTTGCAACATATAACTTACACATGTGATTTATGGGTTACAACATAAGAGTTATATGTACTAATATGTGACTTTTATCTCGCAACAAAATGGACATATGTTGGAACATATGACTCACATGTTCCAATAGAATTGTCATATGTTACACTAGATGACTTGCACCTCTTTCAATATGTGATTTATGTGTCCCAATGGAACAGTTATATGTAGCAACATATGACTTTTATGTCGCAACATAATGGTCATATGTTAGAACATATGACTTACATGTTCCAACAAAATAGTCATATGTTGCATTAGATGACCTGCACCTCTTCCAACATGTTATTTATCTTTCGAAACATAATAGACATATATAGAAACATATGACTTTTATGTCGCAACAAAATGGTCATATGTTGGAATTAATGACTTACATGTTTCAACATAATAGTCATATATTGAACCAGATGACTTGCACCTCTTCCAACATGTGATTTATTTGTCGCAATAGAATACCTATACGTAGCAACATATGATTTACATGTTGCAACAAAATGGTCATATGTTGGAACATATGACTTACATGTTTCAACAAAATAGTCATATGTTGCACCAGATGACTTGCACCTCTTCCAACATGTGATTTGTCTTTCGTAACATAATAGACATATGTGATAACATATGACTTCTTTGTCGCAACAGAATAGTCACATGTTGCCACATAAGACTCATATGTTGCAACAAATGATGAAGTCATATTCTATCATTAGTACTAATTGTTTTTGAATTAATTTATTCAGGTACAATAAATGGAGGGACTATTCATAGGGGTTGATTGTTGTAGTGAATAAATTGAAAATAAAAATTGATATATTTGGCATTGGAAGGATGGTATGAAACAGTCGGTAGGAATGACTGTCGAAAAAAATATTTTGTATGATGATTTTGTGAATTTAATCATCCATAGTTGTGGACTTAATTGTCAACGGAAAGATTTTGTCATTAGTTACATTCCCAGGTTATTTCATAATGAGAAGGTCTTACCTTTTAAAATAACCGATCAGCCTAGTTTGCTTGTTTATTTGGGAGGAGCAGTGAGGCCCATGTTAAGAGACTATGTGGTTGAAAAATCTATCGAGGAGAATCA